CATCTCTCCGTTTATTTTGGAAGAGCAGTCATCCATTCCCTCGGTCTACCCCGAGTCTAAACCACCAGTCTTCCATCCGTCAACACTTTCTGGACGACTTGACTGGCAATCTCCGGAAAAGGTGGTAATTTACGAGCGCCTTTATCATCCGTGTTGACTCCTGAGAGTTTTATGGGGTTTGCTGTAATTGACGTGCACTGAACACCGTCATGCGCAGAACCAGACAGATATGTGGAATCCCATAGATTTTGTATGAAGAAGGTCCAACCTGCTCAAGTCGGCACACAGTAAAAAAAAAAATCCACAGGTTTTACATGTTTGCAATGTGCCATACGAACCTCTTGAAAGTTAAGTAACATGTAAAACTGTAAACAACAGGTGTAAGATTTTTCAAGTTACTTTGAGAGTGAGTAAATAAATTTACCTAATTCATCTTGGTAAAAACAATTTTTTTACTGAAATCATTGGTAAAAATTAGGCCATACTTTGGGATTTTTTATGTAGTAAAAAGGCTAACATTTATCTTTTTATTAGGTAAAGTTATAATCAAGTTTTAATATTTTTTTTGCCCCGTATATCTTGTGACCGAATTCTTTTCAATTACATGTAATAGTTAATGTTTCTTTGATAAAACCAAGTGATGTATGTTGCAATGATCTCCTCTCAGTGACTAGATCCAAACGGACGGATGTCATCGACACTGCCTGCTAAAAAGATGCTTGGCCAACCAGACTTTCTCCTGAGAAAACAAAAAGAAAATGTATTGTTCAATGTTATGTTACACAAACATGTATAGGACTATAACTAGATAATGATGGTAAGTTGGTTTTCATTTTCTCGTTGCTGAAAAGTAGGCAGGATCTTCATGCATTCTGTTCTTTGCGAATAGCATACTTTACCCTCAAGTCGGTCATCTTCACTGCAACTTTGTCAAGTTTCCATTTGAAAAGTAAAAATTTGGACTTGTTTACATAACTTTTGTAAATACAAGTCATTACCTTTTTAAAATGTATTTAAATGTCAGGATTATAGGTCCCATAATGAAGTAGAACATGAAAGGGAAACAAGGTCGAAAATTCACTGTCAAAAAAAACCTGATTCCAGTGGGAGTGGAAACATTTTTAAACAATTACTTTCTTAACTATACAGGAAACCAATAGATCGTCCACACAGTGTATGTAAGCATTATGTGAGTAGGCCTATGTAGTATAAATCAACCAGATCGAATTAATTTATCAGTGTCTGTATATAAATATAACAATGGGATAATGTTTGTTTTAGAAATGATGTTTTGACCCTTTTTCTCAACATTTTATCTTGAAAAAAATATCGATGATCGATTTAAGTGTATAGGAATTCATACGAATATTGAACTCTAAATTCCACAAGGTTAACTGCCTCAGGTTAACCTACCGGCATGCAAATTTTCCTCGGATCAGCTGATTTCCTCTCTTTTTTTCACTTCCAATGTGTGCCATTGAAAATAGAAAAACACTGTACAAAGTCTGGGAAAGATTTGAATTTCCTCCTTTTTTGTGACTTCCCAGTTGCATGCCTGTATGTAAATAATCTGTAGGTTTGATTTAAAATGATAAAAAAAGTGTGTAGACATTGGTCCCATACTCGCATGTGCGGGAAGCAATGTCGCTTCTGTAACTTCTATGGGAATTGAAGAGTTCTTGATTTTACAGGGTGAGTAAAAAAAAAGCGGAACCCAAACCCTCAAAAAATATATTTCATATTTTAAAAAATGTGTATAGCATCAAAAATAATAATAACTGGAAAGCCAATTTCATAAGCTACTTTTAGATGAAAAAAATATTGAAATTGCCTAATCCGTTGACAGAATATTGCCATTTAAACGCAATGACCCTAAAACCTGTTTCGTCCAAAAGAAAAAAAAAACCAATTTATTGTGTATTCTGACTGTTTGGAACAAAAAGGAAAATGACACGTAATACTTGTTTCAACAACTGTCAACAACTGTAGTACACAATATCTTTATAGGCAAACAATATGATTAATATAATCCCCTTTTTTTTTAATACGGGCCTCCGAAAAGGAGTTTGTTAAATATTTTTAACTTTTAAACTTGAGGTTTAATCGCTGGCGATGTTTGAAGACAACTAACTGTGACGACGATTCTTGAAATCGCATTTTTGGACGAAAGAGGTTTTAGGGTCATTGTGTTTAAATGCTGATATTCTTTGAATGGATTGGGCAATTTCAGCAATTTGTTCATCTAAAAGTAGCTTATGAAATTGGCTTTCCAGTCCTCATTATTTTTGGTGGTACATATTTTTTTTAAATATGAAATATAATTCATTGGGTTTGGGTTTCGCTTTTTTGACTCGCCGCTGCTCTATCATTTGGTATCAATATGTTGCTAAAAAAGCATTGTATAGGAATTGTAGGAATTTAGGCGGAAATCCGCAATCTTTACTCGTACCTTGCTTGAAAACAAACCTTTGAATATGAAGTCAATACAGATTTCCGGGTTTTTTTTGTGAATAAGATTTACCTGTACACTTATAATTGATCCAATATTCATCACATTTTGGACCCTGAAGACCCAGTGAAGTAGCCTAAAGTAAAATTTGAGTACCATAGCTCGACGCAAACTACCCGTTATTGTCATTATAAAATGCATTCACTGTCTTTTATCGCTATTTTCTCCGGATTTGCCGGGTTTTAATACGGAAGGACGAGTCGTTGGTGAAATTCCTTCATAAAATAGTATTTTACATGCGCCAACTTCAAACACTTTTAAATGGTGCTACATGTGGCATTGCACTGCCTGCCATACATCCACGGCAGTGCCGACGTTACTCACGTCGGGCGCAACCGTGACTCCAATGCAGATTTGGTAGCACTTGTGGCAATTATTGTTTGTGTGAATGCATAATATGCGTGAAGTGAGGCCGATGCGTGTTTTTGAAAAAGTAAGGAATTTGATAACTAACCCTTGTTTAGTGGCAAATAGCCAATGTTCCAAGTGGGAGGCAAAATCGCTACTTTTTCCGTGGTGGGAGTGGGGCATCGGCCCCCTCCGGTTCCGCCGTCCCTGCTATACCGGACCCATGCATTAACTACTGTGATGCATTGATTTCCTGTGAAATGAAACACAATATCACCTTTCCTTAAGCATCAAGCCCTCCCCCAATTCTCTCCCATTTTCTTTCAAGTTCGATTCAACCTCTTTTCAAATATGTTTCACTCAACTCCACAGTTATCCCGGGTGAAATCACCTCGGTCCCTTTGATCAGGGCTAATAATAATTGGTAGGCGTTTGAAGGCTGCTGTCGGAAGGTCTCTTATGAAACCGGACCGGATCCAATGTCACGGTGCATTTACTTTAAGGATTTGGCTACGGGCCATCTTCACCTTCTTCAGCTATTAAAAGTTTTTAAAATGATTGGGCCACAACGTGAATTTACGGAAGGACCACATACCCTATCCTTCTTGCAATACAAGCAAAATTACTATGAAAGAAAGGGCACATACTGGGCATTTACTCAAGGTTATTGAGTGCTTCTGTCGGTTACTATCAAAACAAAAACAGTGTGGAGAAAAAGAAAAAAAATAGAAGGACACCCAGAGAAAACACAAAACAGTTATCCCGACTGTAATTGTTTCCACCATCGTTAATTACTGTTTTAAGGATATAAAACACCTAGCATAAGTAGTTTTCTCTTAGGGGGGGGGCTTATATGAACAAAAAGTTGTCAACCTTGTTTGAGCAACTAACCAAATAAAAATATCCACTCTTGTCGATCCACCATTAACAACTCAAATGATTCTAAACAAAAGAAAATACACTCGCACCTAAAATGGGGAACAACTTGAAGCCACAATCCCAATCCTTCCAAACTGTGTTCACTTGAACAGTGAAGAACTGTTAAATGGGCGATAGAAGGCCATCAATATGCAAGAAAATGTCTGGGTTATCATCTCCTATTTCGAAGAATTCATTCCGTAATGATGTTCAGAGTGCTTTTGAACAGACTTTAATATATTAATTTCATAAATTGAAAACTATACCAAGGAAGCCATTCCTGAGCATTTGTGCCTGTATATGGAGAAATAAATTTTCAAAAGAACTGCATGTTTGTAGCAGTACAATAATTGTACAGCAATTTTATCCAGGTAAGAGGATGGTTACGTGCTACAATCCAGCATTCGGCCTGTTCTCTCTGAGAAGCAACTGAAGGATTCTGTTAAAACATTTTGTCATGCAGCCTCTTGGAATTTTTCAATCAGAGCTAAGACTTTCGAGGTTATTATAATGTAGCATTATATTCAACAAAACTACGTAATCACCCATCATCCCGTTTTTCTGCAATCCCTATAATCTCAGTCGCTACAACCATAAAAGATAAGGAATCGTATCCTTGCTGGGGAATTACAATGTACGTGTAATAACATTGAAACGAGATGGGCGTATTATCAAAGCTGAACTTATCTTGACTTATAAATTTCCTCCCAGATTGATCTTGGATGCAAACATGTATTTTGGAACATAAAATCTGCGAAAACGGTAATTTTAAAAGTGAGTGTAATCAAATATATTGTAAAAAGCATATCATACCACTCGCATGCGAGGTGATTTCCTAAACTATTCTGGTGGACTGTGAATCACAAAACTTATTGGATGACCACAGTTTTGAGTTAATGTATTATTAAAGCAATATATCGTTGAAGGTCGTATGATCTTAAGGTAAGCAATGCGAGGAATAATTTCCCACGATTTTCTAACCAAACCAGGTGAAAGTAATATGCATATTGTTTGTAGTCCTTCCGTGAGAAAGTGGCTGTACTCTTTTTTTATGTGCACCACCGCAACTACACCTGAGTACCTGCAATGCCATCTTTTTCAGTATCAATCTGATTGGTCATGTTGGTGAAAGGATGTTTACACATTTTTTTTCTGACTAACACGATTCATGTGGTTCTCACTCTTGTTATAATACAAGTGACAAAAATCTCAGCCGGTTTTACAATCCCCATCCGTAACAACACTCATCCAGCAACTTCCTTGCATGCTCGATGATGCTTCAAACACACACGGACACATTGTACTGTACAGACACACGTACGTCCCTCGCGCGGTCTTTTGATTGATCAGGCTTACAGTACCAACCCACCAATCAGCATGATCAAGGCACTGTACGCCTATGGCTTCCTGTCATGCACCGGAGAAACCCTTCAAACCACAATGCCTGAATGCATGTAGAACACGCTATATACATGCATGTTTGGCGAATCATCACGGACACTACCTATAGTAAATCGGCCCACGATCTGTCGCTATGTGTACAAAAAAAACCTGCCAGTACTCTTTTCTTGTAGCATTGGAATGGCTGTTTTGGACAGTTGGAATATTACAGAGCCTGGGTGTATTTTTTTTTTAGAAATTTAGTGTTGTGACTCTGTGTGTGGGTGTCGTAATTGGCACTGAAGTTGGAGTATCGGAGCGGAAGTTCCTGCCAGGACGGGACTCGGGGACTGCCCCGTTCGGCTCGGTGTCTTGCGGTAACAAACTCGGCTTGACAGGTGCATGCCTCGCGTGTGCGCAAAGCGTACATTGGACACTGGCAGATCAAGAGGAATTTCCACAAACACAAAACTACTGACTTCTTCGTCATCGGCTATTGACAGTCCGACAAATGGTAGGAGTGTTAATCGCAGGAAAATGCCTGGGTTCGGTTATCCATGGATGATGGGGTTGATTCCCGCGTTTTACCTGTTTTTACTTGCCTGGCCGATTTCGGGATCCGTTCAAAGGCTTCGGGAGAAATTACTCTGCGAAAATGGAAACACAACAGACGTAAGTACTCGCTTGTTAGATTGGTATGATATGCAATACCTTTTCTTTGCAAACCACGCGAATATTTAGAAGAGAACCAGATTGAACTGTGTGCAACGTTTAAAAAGCGAACCTTTCCAAACCTGGTGTATTTTTTCCGAGATCTTTACGCGGAGTCTTACTTCGATCGTGAACATTCAGGTCTTGTTCCAAGCATGGAGGTAGGTGTTCCCAGCCACGTTTCACGGGGTGGTATCTGAAGTTCCATTTAGTCACTCCTCTCGCAGCGTTTAAAATTATGTTCTGGAGTTGTTTACCCCAAGGTCTGTGATTTGTCCGGTTTTAATTTTAAATGTACTGGCATGCTTTTATACCCGGCATCATGTTTCCTTTTTCATGTTTCCCAACAGGGCGTCAATTCATTTCTTTGGCGGGTGAAGCGAGACACCCCTGCTTACTTTTTCGGTACGATCCACGTTCCTTACACCCGTGTCTGGGATTACATCCCGGAGAACATAAAGCAGGCATTCAGTGAGAGTGAGAATATTTTTTTCGAGTTGGATCTCACGGATACCTACACCATATCGACACTGACCAACTGTCAACTGCTGCCTCATGGAGAGAACCTCAGTGATGTTTTACCGAGAGATTTATTTGAGAGATTGAGGGAACATTTGGAGTATGTCAAGATCATGATGCCGTCATGGATGACAGCGGATCAGCGAGGGAGGGGTCTGTATGCTGATTATCTTTTCAACGCCATTGCTGGAAACTGGGAGAGGAAACGACCAATATGGGTCATGCTCATGGTCAACGCTCTGACAGAAGCAGATATCAAATCTAGAGGTATCCCTGTTTTGGATCTTTTCCTTGCCCAAGAAGCCATGAGAATGAATAAAAGAACAGGTGCCATTGAGAGGGTAGAAGAACAGTGCATGCCGCTGAATGGACTCAACTTTACGCAAGTAAGTTCCGGTCAAATTTTCACGATATATTTTTTTTCCGTCGTAAGTGAATTTATTCGAATATGTTTGACATGTTGTGGTTGACACGTGATGGTTTAACTTTATAACACGTCCGATGAAAGCACGGACGTATGCTGTAGAAGTCACCACGCGCTCAGAGATAAAAACAACATCTGAAGCCGTGGTTCTTTTTTGAGTGACTTGATGTGCCCAATGAAAAGCATACGAACAATAGTGAAGAATTACGAGCCAGTAGCCCGTGTAATGCTGTCAATGAAGTTGACAACACCCTGCTAATTTCATTGGGCATTAGCGCAGCTTTTACAACGCGATTACGCAGGGGGTATAAATGGGGTAGCAAGATGAAATGGGAAAAATTAGTCTTGGGTTAAAGCAAGGATGAATAAGATCATGAGAGGCTTGGCGGCGATGTAAAAAAGCCGTAAGCCCCATGGACTAGGCCAGCAGGTCACTGATTCACATCGGCATTAGGCAAACTTTTTTTTTAAAAAGGTTTAGTGTCCTGTCTTTTTGAAAAAAAGGAAGCGGGAGGCCCTTATTTTTTCCCTCCAAAAATGGCCGCCTGACCGGCTATTTTTTAAGATGGCCAAATTTAAAAAAAAAAAGTTGATTTTTTAATGTGTTGTAATTTTAATTGTTTTTAGATTTTTATATAATTACATATAATCGTGTGCAGCCAGAGGTATTGGAATTAAAGGTCTCGGGTCATAGCTCTTAGGTAAACTTTTTCAATTCCAAATATATGCCTCTGGCTTTCACTTAAGTGTTAAATATTTTGTTTTTGTTGTTTGTGTGTTTTTATGCCGAATAAATAATTATAATAATAATAATAACATGATGTAGAAAAGCAATGCACCTGTGTGCTTTCCAGCACTATCAATTTTGGGGTCAACATAAAGCTATGGATTTTCAAAATCGGCATTGATAGATGAATTATAAGTTGTATCCAGAATTTCCCTTTCTCGGACAAAAATCTCTCCAAAAAGCAGTCCTGACTGATCAATGTCTCTTAAAATTTGGCAACTGCTTTTTTTTAAGGACCTCGGACAGAAAATGTTTTGATTAATCAGAGTTTTCACTCACCGACAGAGTTTTTACTCAAGTTCTGACTTCACAAAATGTTCATAAATAATTTAGGCCTATCCTAGCTTGGGAAACCCCAGCTCCAATGCTCATTGGGAATTCAACATTATAGAGCTGGGGCACATCTTTTTGTCCAGCGGTTGGAAAAATTTCATATTTTAGTCAGTTTTGTTCTGTTTCAAGTTGATCCGTTGCTTCGTGAATGAGTAAATGATCAACTTGAAACAGAACAAAACTGACTAAAATATGAAAAAAAACTATTTATTTTGGTGGCTGTGTTGAGGCCAAAATTAATATCACGGCCTCCGCCATATTCCGCTGCTGGACAAAAACTAGATGTACCCACAGCTCTATTGTCAAATTCCGAATGATGCATTGGAGCTGGGTTTTCCCAAGCTAGGCCTATCCATACATGTTGCATGCATCGCATCGAAACCCCGATGTCGGTATGTAAAACCTCTGATTTCTAAAAAGGTTTTCGGTCCAAGGTCCTTTAATTAAAACCATAATTTGTTACCAAATTTGAAAGAGACATGGATCAGTCAGGCCCCTGCATGCTTTTTGAACAGATTTTTTTAGGAGAAAACAAATATTGGATGTAAGTCATTCGTCTATCTTCTTCGCCATTATTAGAATCTCATAGCGTTAAGTGATAGTTTTGGAACTCACAAGTTGAAAAGTATGAAGATGTGCTCTTTTTTCTTAAAAGTTGTGTTTAGTATAGTGGTCATTCGTGTAGGCTTTGTTGACAAATTGATATTATTTGAAAAATTGATTTGATGAAAGAGACATGGATCATTAGACGACTGAAAAACATTGTATTAGTAGAAGATGTGTGGTGCAAACAATCACTGTATTTCTGTCTAGCATACAAAATAGTTCTCTGTCACGTGTAAAGCAGGCTTACATTACAACATTCAGTTATGAAACAAGCTATATAGACATCATCAAAATAGTATATCTAGGTTATGATTTAATTTGCTCTTCATTTGTGTCTGACAAAACATGTCTGAACTGAAAAATAGACCATTTTGTGTGGATTGCGTGAACAACTCCATTTTAGGAGTGTTTCCAACTTTGTATAGCTTGATTAAAAAAAGATTTAAGGAAATCATATAGGCCTATATGCACCCAAAAAAATCCAATTAATTAAGAATATTTTCTCCTGTTTGGGAAACTTCTTATTTAATAGCAATTTTCAAATGGTGGAAAACCAAGTAAAAAGCCAAAGTTTTTTGTCTACATTTTTGTTTTTCTTCAAACTCATTCTTTCTCGCAATTTTCATTTTTTGTCTACTTGTTTGTCTGTGCTGAAAAAAATCCAATTGACAGAATACCCTCAGAATACCTTTGCAAGTAATAAGATGGAAGGATAAGGATGTGGCGTTTACACATTTAAATGGGAGAACAATCTAAATACATTTACCAATTTCCTGAACCATTATAAACAAAATCCGCATTATCAAAAAAAGTGACATTAGGCCCAAAAAAAATAAGTCTCTGGTTTCTGGTATGGAGCTTGTCCAAAAAGTGGTGCGGCGACGCGGCTTTTTTTTTTTTTTACCTGACTTTTTTGCTTCAAATGTCGGCTGATGACTGCAAATGGTGCCCGACTAAACTTAGTGCAAATATATGGGAGTCCAGAGAGGCCACATAAAGCTTATTCTCGATCATAACCCCATCTAAAAACACGTTAAAATTGTGCAGTAGCAGGATTCTAGTCAAATCTATGAGTTTGGCGGTTTTGAGACATCATCTTTCATTGAAAAAAAAACTTTTTCATTTTGCCGACGCGCATGGCTACGGCAATGCGCGCGCATACCAGAAACCGGAGACTTTTTTTTTTTGGCCTTAAGTTTACTTTCTGCACTTTGAGTTACACATGTATGCATTTCACAAAGAATCGAGGATTCCTATCCATTTAATATACAAAGTATTGAAGCACAGCGGTACCAACCTCGTCCCGAAGATGTCGAGCAGTACGCGCCCATCACTACCTGCTCTCTCACCCTGGTATTGGATCATTTGCATGTGCAAGATTTTTGAACACGTATGCAAATGAGGAACAATCTGGTGCCTGGATATGCGTTACATTAGCGTTTGTTTTTGTATGCGGTGTCTGGGGTAAAAAACAGAGTCAATTCGTCGCAGCGTGAGCACGGCGTAAGTTACGAAAACACGATTTTTTGAATTAAACAGTTACGATCTTATATCGAGACAACATGCAGTATCACATTTCATATTGATATGAGCAATTTGGAAAGGAAATTAGTATTTTCGAGAAGGCGTGGACGAATGATCGCGAAAACACGTACTGCACATTGTGAATAATAGCACCAAGTACACGATAAGATCCATTACTAGCCAATTGTGGTAACGAATCGGGATTCAAGAAGAAAGATTCCTATCCAGGGCTTACTATTGGAAACTAGGTTGGAAATAAAGTGAGCACTGGGGACGAGGTTGCCGTGGTACTTGATCACATTTTGGACAGTTAAGTACTCATCTCCAATGACTGTGGGATTTCTATTGTGTCAGTTATAGGCCTACAGAGCATACAATAATTTGTTTTTATGTTTTCAGTTTGCTGCTTGCCCAAGATCGATGCTAATTGTGCTAGTATGAATGAAATTATGATTTTTTTTTAACATGCCTGAGTGCAAATATACTGGGCAGGTGTCAGCTTTTGTGAAAACTTGTAGACTTGAAGTGTCAACAGAATTAAACACCAACTCCCATCTTTAACTGTATTGTTAAATGAATTGATAAAGTTCTTACTTTCCCTAGCTGTATGCTACTCTGCACCCTGTTTGTGCTTCCAATATTTGGGTGTTTTTTTTTAGCATTTTGTGCATGGAAGCTTCATTTGATTTTTTGTGTGAAATGTGACATAATTTGCAATCTTTTTTAATTATCTTAAAATTAAATTATTGTCACTAAGACGCAAAAAAAAAAAAAGTTAAAAAAGTTCAGCAGGCTGTTTCTATCTACATTCCCATCTTGTCTCTTGTTGTTAAATGGATTATCCCTGGGACCAGGGATTATTAGCACCCCTTAATAGTTAGACCCTCCCTAGACCAGCCTTTATCTGTTTATTAATGTCTGGCACCAGCCTTGCCTCATTACCTATGCATTTGTTGACAACTATACTTGGCTCAAAAGATGCTTGGAAGGGATTATGTAATAGATTGTGTTGTGTACTGGTTTGGATTCAATGAAATCAATCATGGTAACCTATTAACCAGTGTAACAATCTGTCAATACTGGAATGCAAGTCTAGCCCGTCAATGTCTTTTGTTTTTGACTTACACTGAAATTAAGTTATTTAGGTTTTTTAACCAAAAATGTTTGCAAATCTGTTTTGAAATTAAAAAGCCTTTCACAAGGATCCTGCTAGGATTGAAATGTCAGCTGTTTAACTTTAAAAAGAAAAACATTAATAGCATTGTATTATATATCAAATATATTTTTATTTTGGATGACGCACTTTTAATCTCTGAATCAGACCACATATTCCCCACAGAAGGCCAACACCATTTCACCTAATTACCAAATTTTGGTTGAATACGTGAAGGCTTGAGGTCCGCTCATAAGTCCGATGCCTCATAGGTCCGACGCCTCATAAGTCCGACGCCTCATAGGTCCGACGCCTCATAGCTCCGACGCCTCATAGCTCCGACGCCTCATAGCTCCGACGCCTCGTAAGTCCGACAAATTAAATGCCTCGTTTTTCCGTTGTCGGACTTTTGAGGCGTCGGACTTATGAGGCGTCGGACCTATGAGGCAGAATAAATAAATTTGATGTCTCACAAATCCGACGCCTCATAAGTCCGAAATTTCGGACTTATGAGGCGTCGGACCTATGAGTCGTCGGGCTTATGATACGGCCCCGAAGG